AGATGATGCTTTTTTCCTTGTCTTTCTTCTTCGGGTTGAGCTCTGATCATCCAGTCATTGAAGCCAGGTCCCACACAATTTTTTCCTGTTTGTTTTTGCTGTTTCTCCATGAGCAAATAGCCATTTCCTGAGCTAATATATTATCACTGATTCTATCCCATGAAGACAGAGATGCAACTATACATATTCATCCTGTGTATATATAAGCAAATAATGAGGAAATTTAAGCCCCCTAAAAATGATCCCTGGAGTACTGCACATTGTTAATTTACCTGATTACTTACTGAAAAACTGAGGTTTGGATCCACCCAGAGACACTTCAGAAGAAAGGCTGGTGATCTGCCTCAAAAAATTTGCCATTAAAAACCCTGTGAAGCATAGTTCTACTATGACACATATAGGGGTCATCATAAGTTAGAATCAACTCATTGCAACTGGTATTTTGTGGTCTCTGGTGGCACCAACAGTTTGTACTCAAAAACTAATTGAAAAGTTTGCAGTTCAAACCCAGTCAGCAGCACAGTGAAAGAGACAAGCAATCTGCTTTTTGCAAAGATTACAGCTAAGTAAACCCTATGGCATCATTCTGTGTCACATGGGGTTGCTATGAGTCCAAATAGACTCAACAGTCATGGGTTTGGGGTTTTGTTTGTTTTTCTTTAATAAATTAATGTTTGAATTTCAAAAGCTGATTTATGACAATTGTTGTCAGTTGACTCCAACTCATAGTTACCCTGTTTACACAGAGCCAAGTACTGCCTTGTCCTGCGCCATTTTCACAAGTGTTGTTAGGGTTGAGCCCATTGTTGCATCCACCACGTCAATCCACCTTCTTTTCACTGACCCTCTTCTCCACCAAGCATGATGCCCTTTGCCAGGGACTGGTCCCTACTGAGAGCATGTCCAAAGTATGAGAGACAAATCTTGCCATCCTTACCATCTAAGGGGCATTCTGGCTGTGCTTCTTCCAAGGTGTATTGCTTTGTTCTTCTGGCAGTCCATGGTACTTGGAATATTCTTCGCTAAAAAATCACAATTCATATGCATTGATTCTTCTCCAGTCTTCCTTATTCATTGTCCAGCTTCACATGCACCTGAGGTAATTGAAAATACCATGGCTTAGGTCAAATATATCTTAGTCCTCAAGTGACATCTCTGCTCTTAAAATATTCTAAAGAAGTCTTATGCAGATATTCTAAGGAAGTCTTATGCAGAAGCTTTGCCTAATCCAATATTTCATTTGAATTTTTGACTAGTGCTTCATGAACATTGATAATGAATCCGAGTAGAATGAAATTCTCAACAATTTCAATCTTTTCTCCGTTTATCATTATGTTGTTTATTGGTTCAGTTGTGAGAATTTTTGTTTTCTTTATATTGAGTTTTAATCCATACTGAAGGTTATAGTCTGATCTTCATCGGTAAGTACTTCAAGTCCTCTTTGCTTTCTGCAAACAATGTTGTGTCATTTGCATATCACATGTAGGTTGTTCATGAGCCTTCCTCCAATCCTGATGGCACCTTTCTATATACTCTAGCGTCTCACATTATTTGCTCAGCATACAGATTGAATAAGTATGGTGAAAGCATACAACCCTGACATCTTTTCTCATTTTAAACTGTGTAGTATCCCCTTGCTCTGTTTGAACATCTGCCTCTTGGTCTATGTAAATCTGCATGAGCACAATTAAGTGTTCTGGAACAATGTTATCTATAGTTTGCTTTGATTCCACAAAGTCGAAAGCCTTTGCATAGTTAATAAATCACAAGTTAATATCTTTCTGGTATTTTCTACTTTCAGTCAAGGTCCATCAGACATTAACAATGTTATTCCTAATTCCATGCCCTCTTCTGAATCTGGCTTGAATTTCTGGCAGCTTCCTGTCAATGTACTGCTGCAACCATTTTTAAATTATATTCAGCAAAATTTTACTTCTGTGTGATATTAATGATATTGTTTGATAACTTCCCCATTCTGTAGGGTCCCCTGAATGGGCACAAATATGAATGTCTCCCAGTTGGTTGACCAACTGTTTTGGCATACACTAAGAAGTGCTTACAGTACTGCATCTGTTGTTGTTGTTGGTTGTTATGGTGTCCTTTGTTCTTCTTCTTGGCGCTGTTGTGCACTTCTTGATGCTCTTCTCGTCGATTGTTTTGTTTCTTCACAATTCAGTATGAATGAGCCCATTATTGCTGGTAATTTGTCACTCTTTTTGGCTGACCTTTCACTTTACCAAACATAATGTCCTTCTCCAGGGACTGGTCCTTCCTGACAATATATCTGAAGTATGAGAGATGAAGTCTGACCATCTAGGTTTATAAAGAGAATTCTTGTTGTACTTCTTCCACCACAGATTTGTTTGCTCTTCTGTCAGTCCATAATACCTTTAATATTCTTTTCCAACATCATAACTCAAATGCTTCAATTCTTCTGTGGTCTTTTTTATTCATTGTTCAACTTTCAATGCATATGAGGCTATTGAATATGCCATGAACAGGTTTCAGCTGAACTTCCAGACTAAGACAGAATCAGAAGAAGGACAGGCAGACTACTTTCAAACATTTAATCACTGAAAACCTTGTCAATAGTATTGAAACACTGTCAGATAGTACCAGAATACTGAATATTGTTCTAACTCCAGGTTTTTGCACATTTCCTTAGAATATTTGACTTTGTGTTCTTTAGTTGTCCTTTGAAAGGTCATATTCTGCTCACTTAGTTTGTCATTTCTTTCATTGTTTTCAGTTCATCTAAATTCAAGAGTAAGTTTCACATTCACTTTGGTCTTTTTCTTTTTCCCTGTCTTTTTAGTGACTTTTTGCTTTCTTCATGTATGATGGTCTTGATATCATCCCACAACTCCTCTGGTCTTCAGACATTAGTTAATGACAGTTGTTGTTGTTGTTGTTGTTGTTATGTGCCTTGGAGTCAGTTCTGACAATACAAGGTACAAAAACTTAGTCTTCTCATTCCTAGTCCATTGTTTTTCCACTACCCCCCTAGATACCATTGAATTTTAACAAGGGGAAAGCATGCATCATACCAAAACAAATATTCTTCATAGGATCAGCACAGGACTGCGAACCACAAGGTTATCAGTTCAAACCCACCAGCTACTCCTCAGGTACTCTATACACGGTCGCTATGAGTTGGAACCTATTCAATGGCACTTAACAACAGTAATAACTATACTTTGGGTTTTTAATCATTTCCTTATATAGTTTAAAAAGTTATTACTTGTTCTTCTGAGGTATTTTATGCCTATTTCCAGAGATGGACTTATGGTTCCCATGATTTATGACAGTCTGATATGGGATCTGGATTTCCAACATAATTTGGAAATTATATTTCTACTGAAAAAATTCTGGATGCTTGCTAAAATCAATACTGAGTGGCTAGATGAATTGGCTAGATTAAATAACACACAGTATAGTAAATGTACTGTACTACCTTGATACCTTTCTGAAAAATGTAGAATGCTAAGGTAAGCATCATTCACAATGGATTTTTAGTGGCATAGTCACATAGCACTAGGGCAGGAGGGGAGAAGCTCCTTCTTACCCCTCAGTCACACCCTTTTCAGATCTCTGGGCTGTATAGATGACTTCTCTCTTTTCCTTCTTTAGTTTGTGAACGAAAGCAACTGAAAGATTCATCTAGTGTTCAAGCTCTATGAAGGGGCTTCAAAAAGTTTGTAGAAAAAATGGAATTAAAAGATAATGGGCTAATGTTCTCCCATGTAAAACGATCACATAATTCACAATAAAACATTTAAAAAAAAAAAAGATAATGGAATTTTTCCACAAGCTTTTGAATCCCCCTCATATTTGACAGAGAATTAAAGAAAGTGGGTGATAATGGAATTTAGGGTTTAAACATCCATTCTAAACCATATTAATTATTCTATATGTAAAAAGAGAAAATGTCAACGGACTGGTTTATGGCAACTGTTACCCAGAGGAGCCCTGAGGGCACAACTAACTGTCCAACATTCAACTGCTAACCAAAATGCTGTTATTTGAACCCACCCAATGACTCCATGGAATCCAAGGTGTGGCTCTGTGAGTTAATGTGCTGGACTGCAAAGTCAGTTTGAACCACAAGGTGGGCAGTTCAAGCTCATCAGCCACTCCTTGGAAACCCTATACAAAGTTGCTGTAGGTCAGAATGTACTCGATGGTACTTAACAACAGCAACAAAGTGGCTCTATGGAGTCCTGATGTGGCACTGTAGCATTAACACCAGACTGCTAACTGGAAGATCAGCAGTTCAAACCCACCATTCACTCCTTGCAAACCCCATACAGAATTGCTAAGAGTTGGAACTGACTTGAAACTAACAGGGGCTCCACAGGAGAAAGACCTGGTGATCTGCTCTCATTAACATTATGTTGTTGTTGTTGTGTGCCGTGGAGTCGGTTCCGACTCATAGCAACCCTGTAAGTCTTTGCTGGAGCAGAAAGCCTCATCTTTCTCCCACAGAATGGCTGGTAGTTTCTAACTGCTGACCTTGCGGTTCGCAGCCCGATTCGTAACCACTATGCTACCAGAGCTCCTTCATAAACATTATAGCTTAGACTATATCCTATGGGACAGTTCTGCTCTGTCACATGGGGTTTCTATGAGCTGGAATCAACTTATCAACCCACAATGACAACACAGGTAGAACAAACTAAACCAATTAACAGACTGGGGAATGTAGCATAGTAAAGCAGTGCATTAAGAAAATCGCTTACCTTCTATTTGTCCTATGCTTTCCATGCTACCAGAGTTCTTTACTTTTGCACTTGAGTGGTCTAATATCTCATTGTTACTGAATGTAAATTCAGTATGCTATTTGGAATAGATAATAAAATCTTTGAATATCTGTACATGCAATCCAGTGTGAATTCTAAGGCTAAGCAGAATTTTTTGTTCCTAGCAATCCGATATTGTGACAGATGCCAACTTATAAAACCAGATCGTTGCCATCATTGTTCCGTCTGTGATAAGTAAGAAAACCATTTACTACTTTTCTCATTGTTGCTTGGAATATCTCCTTGTCTTATTATTTACACTTCTCAAACATTTTATTTAGGAAAGGTGATGGGATTAATCACTTGATTAATAAGAATGTGGCTTAGGGCTACAGTCAGTTAATTCTTATCTCTCTGGTCCTCAGACTCATGCTAACATGAGTGGACAATTTTTAGCAGTTCTGGCTTGGCTGGTTCAATTTAGCAAATACTTCTAAAGATAACTTAATTGACTTCATGATAGCCAGGTATTAACCTACATTTAATATACTACAAGGACAGGATTACTTGGCTTATGGGTTAATATTAATTTGTCAAGAATTTTGCAAACACTTTGATGTTTTATGCATTCTTTAGCATGGTATATTTTCTTGATTTTGGAAAGTGATTGATTTTATTTGCCTTTTAGAGCATGTAGATTTTTAATGCAAAGTTCTATTTTTCTACCATAATTGGAATTGGTTATAGATAGTATTTGTTTTAGATGAGGACTTTTGCTATTATTCAATTTTTAGTTGCGATAGATCTTTTGAGCATCTATGTTTAAATATTATATACATATATATCTGTGATTAAAACAAAATTGGATTTTGTTTTGTTTCGTATTTTAGATGTATTTTAAAGATGGATCATCATTGCCCATGGTGAGTATGACTCAATACTTAAATAAGTTTTGGGACCTTAAATATTTGAAAAAATTTAATCACTTATTTGTTTAAATCTTTAGAAATATATCACCTTAGCTGACCCTAGCTAGTGTTTTCAGATTTAATTTCTAATGTTTGCTTAATTGACCCAGAAGAGCCTTTCTTCAGGATAATTTCCATGAAATAATATTTTAAAACCAGGTTAATAATATAAAAGTTCATTTTTCATGTTTTCTCAGAAAAAAAAAGTTTTGCATGAGCACACATTAACCTAGAATTCTAAAGTACTTCCCAGGAATGTACACAAATATGTATTTATATTATACACAATACCTCAATTGGAGTAGCTAATAAAGAATTAAGTCATCTAAAACTTTAGCAATTTATTTTATTTTTTTAAACGCATGATATTAAGAAGTAGCATAGCAAATGCAGAAGTCCTCAGATATGTTTAAGCAAGTTTCACTTGGAATTCATTCTTGTTTTGTAATATTCGTTTAAGTCATTAAATTAGGTAAGTTTTAAAGAATTAATTGACAGTCTTAATTAACTAGGATCCCTGATGAAACAACAGTTAAGCACTGAGGTGGTAACTGAAATGTTGGCAGGCAGTTTGGACCTACCAAGCAGTTCCACGGGAGAAAGACCTGGTGATCGCTACCTGGAAAGAATATATCCAAGAAAGTCCTATGGGGCAGTTCAACTCTGTCACATGTACTCTTTCAGATAGATATCAATGTGTGTGTATGTATGTATGTGTTAGTATACCTTCTTCCCTTTTTTTCAAAGTGTCTATATTATTAACTTGTTCTGTGCCTTTTTGTTGCTGTTCTTGGTCTACTTAATATATCCTGAAGATTTTCCTTATCAGAACATAAAGGACTTCCTTGTTCTTTTTTGGAAATTCCACTGTGTGAATGTAAGTCATTTATAAGGGAGTCTTCAAAAAGTTTGTGGGGAAATGGATTTAAAAAATAATGGAATTTTTCCATGAACATTTTGAAGCCCTAGTTGTTGTTGTTGTTAGGTGCTGTCGAATTGGTACTGACCCATAGCAACCTTATGCACACCAGAATGAAACACTGTCCGATCCTGGGCCAACCTCACTATTGTTGCCACGCTTGAGTCCATCGATGCTGCCACTTGCCCAATCCATCTCGTTGGGTGACTTCTTCTTTTTCTCTGACCCTCCACCTTACCAAACAAGATATCCTTCTCTAGTGACTGGTCCCTCCTGACAATATGTCCAAAGTATGAGAGATGACGTTTGGCCATCCTGGCCTCCAAGGAGCACTCTGGCTGCACTTCTTCCACAAGGGATCTATTATATATAATAAGGACTAGGCAGTTAACTGCAAGGGTAACACTAGCCACTCTGCAGGAGAAAGTTGAGGCTATCTGCCTTAGATAAAGCTTTTATTATTATTATTATTTTAATGAAACCTTATATAGGATCACTATGAGCTGAAATTGACTTGCTGGCAGTTGGTTGGGTTGGGTTGGGTTTGAGACCCTGTCTGTAAGGAGGCTTTTTTTAATGTAACCTCTGTATACCGTTTTTAAATTCAGTATCTATCATCTTTCAGCACTTAAAAATTAGGTAAACAGTACCTCTCTATTGTCATAATTTAGCATATCTGCTAAATTATGATTAAGATTATCTATTAAAGGGCAGGTGATTGACATCACGCTTGTGTTTTCAATAAAATAGAGAATCTATAATATTTGTTTTGTGGAATGTCTTGTCATAGAAGCATTTTTCCTTTTAATATAAATTTTTCATTTATTAGTAAATTATTTTAATACTACACTTGCCAAAGGTTACCCACCCACAGCCATCCAGTCAATTCCAACTCCTAGTAACCCTCGAAAAGATTTCTGAGATTGTAAATCTTCATGCAGACAGCTGAATCCTTCTCCCTCAGAGTGGCTGGTGGGTTTGAACTGTTAGTAGCCCAAAATCTAACACATAGTGCCACTAGGGCTCCTTACCAAAAGCTGTTGTTGTTGTTAAGTGCCTTCCAGTCAGTTCCAACATAAAACAACCCTGTATAGGATTTCCAAGGCTTTTAAAAGTCTTTATGGGAACAGAAAACCTTATGCTTCTCCCACAGAGTGGTGGCGGACCCGAACCGTGGACCTTGTGGTTCACATTCCAGTGCTGGTCATATGGTTGTTGTTGTTATTAAGTGCCATCAAGTAGGTTCTGACTCATAGTGACCCTCTATAGGGTTTCCAAGAAGCAGTTGGTGAGCTTGAACCACTGACTTTGCATTTCAAACCAACCTTGCAGTTGGATGCATCAATCTACAGCGCCACACCAGGACTCCCGTATGTTTAGCACAAATAAAGTAAATAATTCAGACTTCCATTTACTGAGTATTTAATATGTGTTAGACTCATAACAGAGCTGCCCCTATAAATCTTTATGGAAACAGACTGCCACATCTTTCTCCCGAGGAGCAGCTGGTGGGTTGGTATCCTAGAATGTATTTTGTTTATTCATATGAAGTCATTTCTTTTCTAGGTGGAGAAAGCTCAGACTAAGACAAGTGCTTTTTTTTTTTTTTTTTTTTTTTCAAATTGAGTGTAGAAAGGCAACTGAGTTAGAATGTCTAACTAAATTCTGTTTAATAGAGAGCAAGGGCTTATTCAAAATAAATACTTTTACTGTATTCCCCTATTTATATATAAATACTGTCTGCGAACCTTAAGGTCAGCGGTTCGAAACTACCAGCAGCTCCGCGGGAGAAAGATGTGGCTTTCTACTCCCGTAAGGATTTACACCCTCGGAAACCCTGTTCAGGGTCGCTATGGGTCGGAACCGACTCGACGGCACTTAACAACAACAACAACAACTCTATTCCTATATATAAGGAGCTCTGGTAGCGTAGTGGTTATGAATCAGGCTGCGAACATTAAGGTCAGCAGTTCAAAACTACCAGCTGCTCCGCGGGAGAAAGATGAGGCTTTCTGCTCCTGTAAAGATTTACAGCCTCGGAAACCTATACAGGGTCACTATGAGTCGGAACCGACTCCACGGCACATAACAACAACAATAACATTCCTGTATAACATCTGTAAAATCTATAAACTAGATCTTAATAAAAGCTGTAATCAAAATCATTTTACTTTTAAGAAAAATGCTACATGGTCTGCATCTTATATTCCTGTACAAAGAGAAACCATCTTTCTTACCCCTTCCAATTGTTCTTATCCACAAAGGAGTCATTGTCTGCATCTGCTGGTCCAAAGTCTAACAGTACCCCTGCCTAATCTACCCATTCTCTTCTCTTGACACAAGGAAGGGGAGGGAATATCCTCCCCACTTTTGACACAGAATACAATTACACCAGGCTTATAGAGAACCACGTCCAATGTTTTTTCTTGCCCGTTGTTTCATTGTAGGCACCATAAAAGGCAATCTCAGTAGTTGGTTTGTTATTCATAATGGAATCTCTAGAGCTGCATATGCAATTGTTTTCATGAAGTGGTTACCCAGCATTTTTTACTTCTTGATGAATTCATTTGCCATATAGAAGACCCTTAAGATCCAAAATTATTGACTCTTGTGCTGTTCTCTTTACCTGAAAATTTTTTAAAGTAGAAAATGTAAATCTTTTTCACGTGAACAGAGTTTCATTAAAAAAAAAATCTAGAAAGAAAAGTGTTTTGGCTTATTAGCAAAGTCAATACATAGTAAAATGATCTTACAAATATTAGAGAGGGAACAAAGACATTTAAGGAGAGGAAAGCCAGATGTGTATGTTTGGTGTAATATGTTCATTATACCATTAGCAATGAGTTATCTCACCCAGACCCAAATTCCACTTAGATTTACAAAAGATCAACCAGTGATTTCCCAGTTCTAATGAGACAAAAAACAACAACAAAAACAAGTGTTGATTCAAAGTGTGGCTATAAAATGAGATATATTTTTGTTCATGTTAATTAATATGATAGTTTGAATTCTTGCTTGCCTCCACCCCCACCACCAACTCCTTCATATGATTTTAGAGTCAGAACCAAGAACTTATAAATGTCCAAATTTGTAATCATAGAATGTAGAGCTGGTTCTAAGAGATGCTCTCAGAATACTTATTTTACAGATAAGGGTAACAGAATCTGAATAGACCATTTCACTTCCTCAAGGCCACATAATTAACTAGTGTCAAATGTGCAATATAACGCTGGCTGTGTGGCTCCCTGTCCCTGTGTCTTTTCTTCTCCTTCCCATTTAATATGCTTTGGCAATCGGGTAGCTTCAGTGATATGCTGAATGCATTAAAGGTGTCATTTGTGAAGATTCTTCACTTTCTTTGGGGAAATGTGAGAGATTTTACACTAATTAAGCATCGTTGGAAATCAAACCCAGAGTTAACATAGAGGAAGAACTGAGTAAATTCCTCTAATTGGGCTGACTTTATGAGGTTTTTACAGGTGCTGGATTTTTAAGCATGTGTTGATTTGTATTTGTATTGGGACATGAAATACAGTTATATTTTTCATGCTTGATTAGAGCAATACTAAATATTAAGTTTTTAAAACCTAGAAACATATTTTCTTAGTAAGATTTTTCTTTAAATGTTTGTGTGTCTGTGTAAAGAAATTGTGTAAGCTATACTTAAATGTAAATAGATATTAAATGCAATCAGTCCAAACACTGTTCAGGTTGATCATATGTCTAGTTACAGTGAAGATGTAAAATCATTTGTGATGTTCTTTTTGTTTTGTTGACAGGGTGAACAATTGTGTTGGATTTTCAAATTACAAATTTTTCCTCCTTTTCTTGGCATATTCTCTGCTATACTGCCTTTTTATTGCTGCTACGGATTTACAGTATTTTATCAAATTTTGGACAGTAAGTCATTGCCTTGGTGACTTTTTTTGATAAACAAAGGGATATGTAATATAGACTTTTAGTAATGAATTCTTTCAGGCATTGATTTCATGAAATAGAGCTAATTTATAAAGTACAAGAAGAATTTTTTCTAATATTTAAAAATAGTGTTTTCGTTTTTAAAAAAATGTTAAACCTTTTCTTCTATAATATCTTGGATTTTTATTAGCTTTGACTTAATTAGGCTCCAGGCAACTCATTTGTTTTCTGCACTAGTAGATTTTAACTGTAGGCAAATCCTGATTAACACTGAGTGCTTTAAATATCCAAAAATACTCCTCATAAGCACCAAATGATGGTTTAAAAAAGTCTATCCTCTGCTTGAATGGCTTTATGATTTCTACATTAAGTTATCCTTTACTGCAGTAATGCTTTCTGACTTGCTGGATCATTTTATGTGATATTTGATCTATATTCAATGCCAAAGATTTATTGAATGCCTACTATGTGTCAGCTACATCATTAAGTACTAGGAATACACATGTGAATGATCAAGGATACTTCCTTTGGTCAGCTTGAGGAATGATCCCTAGTGCATGTCTGAGAGAACACTATCTACTGCTCCTTATTTCTGTGGGTGGTTTTAGTTCCACATCACATTTGAAAAGTACTGGCCAAAGATTTCACTCTGCCGACTCTACTGTCAAAAGTCATTTAAGAGGCCTTTGTAACCTGTGTCAATCTGACAGGTATTACAGGGTGTTGAAACAGTATGACTTCTTATCAGAGAGCTCACCTCTTGCTGCTTAACCAAGTGTTCCCAGCCCAAAAGCCATCCATTCTAGAAGGGGTCAGGGTTTCCTTTGACACACAATCAGTAAGAATCAAACTGATCTTGCTTTCAGATGGCCTATTTCAGCCTATGAACAGTGTGAAGTTTATATCAGATAGGTGGTATGCACTGGTCTTGACCTTTTCTGTAACACTACTATTTAAAATAGTTTCAAGCATTATTGTGAATGTGTTGTTTGTGTTCTTGTAGTTGATGCTGTTGTTTATGGTAATGTAAAACATCAGTGAAAATAGTAGCTACTTCTTAAGTGCCATCAAGTCAGTTCTGACTCACACCTACCCTGTATAGGGTTTTTCAAGGAGTAGCTGGTAGATTTGAACTGCCAACCTTGGGGTTAGCAGTTCAGTGCTTATCTTACAGTGCCATACCAGGAACCCAAATAGTAGCCAAAGTATGACAATTAACCTTCATTTTCTGGCTTTATAATGGTGGTGGTGGATGGTTGTGTGCTGTTGAGTTAGTTCCGACTTATAGCAACCCTGTATAGGGTTTCTGAGGCTGTAAATCTTTAAGGGAGCAGAAAGCCTCATCTTTCTCCCACAGAACAGCTGGTAATTTCGAACTGCTGACTTGAGGTTAGCAGCCCGACTTGTAACCACTACGCTACCAGACTATTTAAAATTTGTGAATTTGTAGCATAGTCATGAAATATACTCAGGAAGTGAATTAGAAATGATATTTTATCATTCTTTTTATATTGATTCTCACTTTATAATTTAAACACAGGCTACCTTGACTATATATAGTGTCAGTACGGGTCAGCGCCAACTCAACGGTACTTAACAGCAACAATCTTGACTGTCTTAATTTTTCTTAAGTTTTGGTTATTCAAAATAAAATAAAGTTTCCAAATTTTAACCTTTTCTACATACATGTTGGAATCCTGGTGTGGGCTGCAGGTTAATGCACTGAACTGAACGGTCAGTTTGAATCATGAGGTTGGTTTGAGCCACAAGGTCAGTGGTTCAGGCTCACCAGCATCTCCTCAGAAATCCTGTACAGAGTTGCTATTAGTTGGGATTGTCTTAATGGAACTTAATAATAACAACAACATACATATTAATATTGCAGTAAACATTTATTTTAATGCATATATACAAAGATGCTTCAAAAAGTTCATGGAAAAATACCATTATCTTTTCATTTCATTTTCCCATGAACTTTTTTGAAACACCCTTGTATATATATCCATGTACACAAGAATACATATCATTAAAATAAACATATATAAAAGTTAGATTAAAAATAAATTTATATTTGTCGATATGTATGTCTTTCAACGTTTTAAAACAAAACTATATATCTGTCTCCATATCTAAATTTAAGGAAAAAAATCTAAGCAAAGCAAAACATATATCTTACTAAAAGTAGGGAGAAACTTATCCCTTTGACAAAATATTTTATTTTCTTCCTTTCTTTGTAGAATGGGCTACCTGATACTCAAGCCAAGTTCCATATTATGTTTTTATTCTTTGCTGCAGCTATGTTTTCTGTCAGCTTGTCTTCTCTGTTTGGCTATCATTGTTGGCTAGTCAGCAAAAATAAATCTACATTAGGTGAGTATCTAATTTGGTAGTTTACTGAAATTTAAATACATGCATAAAGATTCACCAAAAGATATGATTAAATGCCAATCTGTCAAGAAGTGGTAAGAATCATTCTTATGTTCCACATTTTTCAGTGAGCTGTGACTTGGTGATGTACAAATTCATTCACTCCTTATGTGTATTGACTGTCCATTATGTGTGAAGGATTATACATACACAATTGTGAACAAAAACAAAACAGTCCAGTGGAAGACACAGAACATTGATAAAAGTAACTACAAAATGCAAAGAGAATGCTGAGTTATAGAACAAAGACATGTTGTAGGGAACCTATTTAGATACTGTGGTTAGGAAAGAGCTTCTAAAACAAGCATTTAATTCAAATTTTTAACCCAAGACCTTCAGGGTGAGAAAAACCCATTGCTGTCAAATCCATTCTGCCTCCTGACAACCCTATAGGACAGAGTTGAACTGCTCCATAGGCTTTCCAAAGCTGTGATCATGGAGCGACAGGTGTGTTTGAACCGTTTAACCACTGCATCATTAGGGTTCCTGTGTCTCAAGTAGAAAGACAAAGCCCTATAAAAATAATGCTTATAGGAAAATGTATAGCTGCAAAAGTTTATGATATAAAAAGAGGCAGAAGTTAAGTCAATAACCTAATGTTACACCTTATTGTTCTTTTTTTAAGTGCCACTGAGTCGGTTCCAACTCAGAGAATCTGTAGAGCGTTTCCGAACCTGCAAATTTTTGCAGGAGCAGAAAATCTCATCTTTCTCTCTTGAAGTGGCTGGTGGCTTCAAACCTCCAACCTCGTGTTTCACAGTCCAGTGCGTATTCTAAAGAGCCACCACATTTATTTTATACTTTACAGAAGTAGAAAAAGAAGAAGAATCTAAACCCAAACCAGAAGATGGAAAAAAAACAGATCAGAGAGAAATGAAATTGAGAACAAAAATAAATAAGTAAAATTAAAGAAAATCAATGAAACCAATAGTTGGTCTTTTGAAAAAAATTCAACAAAACTGACAAACATTTAGCTAGATTGCCTAAAATAAAAGAGAGAAAAATATTTAAATTACTAACGTTAGAAATGAAAGTATGGATGTTAGACTAGATCTTATAGAAATAGGATGATAAGAAAATACTATGAATGATTGTACAACAACAAATTATTTAACTAGATGAAATGGACAAATTCCTAGAAACACATAGGAAAACAAATTCCTAAAATCTACCCAAATTGACTCATGAAGAAATAGAAAATTGCAATCAACGCCCTTGGAATCAGCAGTTAAGAAATGAAGCAATGTCTTGCATAGGGCAAATCTGCTGCAAAAGACTTCTTTAAAGTATTTAAAAGCAAAGATGACACTTTGAAGATTAGGGTACACCTGACCCATGCAATGGCATTTTCAATCATCTCATGTGCATACAAAAGCTGGACAATGAATAAGGAAAAAATGAGGAAGAATTTATGCCTTTGAATTATGGTGTTGGTGAAGAATACCAACTATACCATCTACTGTCAGAAGAACAAACAAATCTGCGCTAGGAGAAGTATACTTATTAGAAGGGAAGATGGCAACACATCTTATCTCTGATACTTTAGACATGTCATCAGAAGGGCATCATATTTGGTCAAGTGTTGTAGTTGTTAAGTGTCATCAAGTTGGTTCTGATGCCTATCGACCCTGTCTAGAGTTCTTGCTGGTCCTGTGCTGGTCAACCCTGCACCACCTTCACAATTGTTGCTAAGGTTGAGACCATTGCTGTTGCCACTATGAAAATCTGTCTGTTTATTTGTCTTCCTCTTTTTCACTGACCTTCCACTTTACCTTGTATGATGTCCTTCTCCAAGAACTGGTCCCTCTTGACAATATGTCCGCAGTATGAGAGACAAAGTCTGGCCATCCTGGCTTCTAAGAAGCATTCTGACTGTACTTCTTTAAACACAGATTTGTTTGTTCTCCTGACAGTCCATGGTGCATTCCAATACCATAACTCAAATGCATCAATTCTTCTATGGTCTTCTTTATTCATTGTCCAACTTTTATATGCATATGAAACTATTGAAAATACCATGACTTGGGTCAGTCACAGCTTACTCCTCAAACTGACATCTTTGCTCTTGAGCACTTTAAAGAGGTCTTGTGCATCAGGTTTACCTAATGCGATACGTTATTTGATTTCTTGACTGCTGCTTCCATGAGTGTTGATAGTTGATCCATGCAAAATGAAGTCTTTCACAACTTCAATCTTTTCTTCATTGTATGGATGTTGTTTATTGGTCCAGTGGTGAGAATTTTTGTTTTCTTTACATGGAGATGCAACCCGTACTGAAGGTTGTGGTCTTTGATCTTCATCAGTAAGTATTTTAAGTCCTCTTCACTTTCAGCAAGCAAGGTTGCATCATCTATATATCACAGGTTGTTAATGAGTCATCTTCCAATCCTGATGTCACATTTTTCAGCTTCTCAGATTATTTGTTCAGCATACAGATGGAATAAATACGGTGAAAGAACACAACCCTGGCATACATCTTTTCTAATTTTGACCCATTCATTGTTTCTGTGTTCTGTTTGAATGACTGCCTCTTGGTCTATGTACAAATTACTCATAAGCACAAGTAAATGTTATGGAATACTCATTCTCCACAATGTTGTCCATAGCTTGTCATGATCCACACAGTCAAAAACCTTTGTGTAGTCAGTAAAGCACAGGTTAGCATCTTTCTGGTATTCTCTGCTTTCAGCCAAGATCCATCTGATGTCAGCAATGATACCCCCTCATTCCACATCCTCGTGTGAATCCGGCTTGAACATCTGGTAGTTCCTTGTCAATGTACTGTTGCAGCCATTTTTTTAATTTTCTTGAAGAAAATTTTACTTGCATGTGATATTAGTTATATTGGCCTTTGGATCACCTCTGTCTGGAATGGGCACAAATATGGATTGCTTCTAATTGGTTGGCCAGGTAGCTGTCTTCCAAATTTCTACGTATAGATGAGCTAGTACTTCCAGAGTTTCTTCAGTTTGTGGAAAGATTTCAATTTGTATTCCATCAGTTCCTGGGGCCTTGTTCTTTGCCAATGCCTTCAGTGCACCTTGGACTTCCTCCTTCAGTATCATTGGCTGTTGGTCATATGCTACCTCTTGAAATGGTTGAACATGGACACTTTCTTTTTGGTACCACAACTCTGTGTATTCCTTCCATCTTCTTTTGATGCTTTCTGCCTCATTCAATATTTTGCCTGCAGAATTCTTCAATATTTCAAGTTTTTTCTACTGCTCTTTCAGCTTGAGAAATGCTGAGTGTATTCTTCCATTTTGGTTTCCAGAACTGATTAGATAGCACCTAAAGTAACAATAACAAATAACAATTTAAGAGATTAGTTTAATAATCAAAAACCACTTAGCAAAGAAAAGTCCAGAATAAATTATTTCATTGGTAAATGCTGCCAGTCATTTAAAGAAGAATTAACATATCAACCCTTCTGAAATATAGAACTGGAAAGAACATTTATTAATTTGAGAGTCTTTGCTGTAGCTGTTTTCTGTAAGAGTATTGCCATGATTATTTTTATACCAAAGCAGACAAATACATCACAAGAAAAAGAACATTAGAGAGGGAAGGAGTCTTCACATCAAGTATCAATGCTTATCCCCGCTGTATACAGGGTAGATAGGGATGGGCAACTTAATATGAGGGGGCAATAAAGACATGAAGTGACTAGCTTACAAGGTTTCACGAGGGAGTTTAATTTAAGAGTATATGGAGAAATATAGAGTCCCCACTGAATAGTTTCATCTTGTCTAGATGGGTCTGGTGAAAGAGATG